ATACATATATACAGTATATATATTTGGATTTGGAATCTGCAGTGAGGGACCCTGAGCAGGTCCCAGATCAGTAGGGTCTGACACATCCTTGGCCCTGGATACAAGTGGTGATTTGGTGCAAACATACGTTGAATCTTTTCCTGCAGTAAATCGGTCTGCAGCTGTTGGGTCAGCCCTTGAGATCTCTCAGATCAGCACTGAGTCAAAGTAGATGTCTGAGCCAGTCCCACACGTATTTGATTGGGAAAGACTAAGGACTTGGCTGGCCACATTATGCCCTCCACATGATGTGTCAGTTCATAAACCAGGAGGTTTATGAATACCATACCATGCCATGTGTGGACGGATGTTGTATCAGTTGAATCATTACCAGACATCATATCCTTTGGCTCCCTAAACCACGTTGGAGCTGGTGTGTTTCTCCAGTTATAGCACCACTCCAAAGGCAGCCGTCTATGTTCTGGTATCAATGGCAACCTACACACCAGACAGTAAACCATAAGTCCAACTGCTGGCAGCCATCAAGACACAATGCAGGAGAACATAAGACGTTGTAAACCTGTGTCTGAAAGGCAGCCATAGATATCATGAGGTCCTATAATGCTTTGCACACAATGCAATTTATTTTTATTTTTTTGCCGTGGTCTGTCTTGGGTGACCAGAACCTGCCTGATGTTTGTGTCAGTGCCCTTGTGTACTCATTGGTTCCAGCATGTGTACATGTACACCAGGCACTTATGCAAATACTTTGTATCATCTACTGTAGCAAAGTAAACAAACACCTAGCCTCATGCAGATCCACAATGTGATCTCTATTAGACTATATCAAGTGCTGGTAATGTTATGACTGGGTATCTTCTGTCTTTGCTGACCTTCACTTACTGCTTTGAGTGATGGTCGGATGTTCCAGCAACTGCTTACACACTCACCTCACCATGTTGCTACCACTTATGCCCTCTGGAACCTGTTCTGGACAAACCAACTCCTTACAAATCAAATTGCCTACATCAATCACTACTCCTCATGTGCACCTAACCACATAATAATTTAAATATTTATTCTGGGTTTTGAACTGTATTTTGTCAGTAAAACCACATAAACAACTCCACTGTGCCATATTGTATACAGGTAAAATGTACAATAATTAAAAAATGGTACTGTAAAACAACAGAAACCCCTTACAGTATATTATATAAATAAGAATATGTCATGTTTCTCCAGTCTATGTGCTGTAGATTTATGGTTGATCTGCATTTTCATCATGTAACTTCAATAGAAACTGACAGACAGTTCCTAACTATGCCTGTAGCGTGGTGAGGACATACATGCAGGAATATGGGCAGCGGCGTTTGTAGTAGCAGCAGTAGAACTGCCATTCCCGGTCCAGAACAGATTCAAAGTATTTGCTTTGAACTCCTGCCACCAAGCCATTGCGGGTGCATGTAGATGTCCTGCAAAGATAAAGTCATAATTTACACACGATTAAATGGAATTTAATCATTTATTTTCATTCAAACTTGAAATTGTGTGAAGAAATTTTCTGGATAAAAAAGTAACTCTGTATCTCCACCACTTACTGGTGTAAAAAGTCTACAACTTTTATTCCTGATAAAATAACAAGTGTTGTAATGTATTAAACCTTGATTTATTATTTCTAAACATTTTCCACATTTTTGTCATGTACATTTTTAAAAACCTATTGGGATGGGGGAAAAAAGATGCAATTACTTTGTTGATTAAACAAACTGTGGGGTTCTGGTGAGGTTAGACCCAAGTGCAGGCAGACATGGAGAGCAAGAAGTTAAATAACAATGAATTTATTAGGGAGGAGAGAGTGGTGATCAGAGCAGACCTGAATGGACATGTTGGTGAAGGAAACTGAGGGGATGAGGAAGTGATGGGTAGGTCTGGTGTCAAGGAAAGAAGCCAGGAAGGACAGATGGTGGTGGATTTTGACAAGAGAATGGCTGTAGTCAACACTTATTTCCAAAAGAGGGATGAACATAGAATGACCTATAAGAGTGGAAGAAGGAGTACGCAGGTCGACTACATTCTGTGTAGAAGAGGAAACCTGAGGGAGATTGGAGACTGTAAGGTTGTGGCAGGGGAGAGTGTGGCCGGAGAGCATCGGATGGTTGTGTGTAGAATGACTGTTGCTGTGAAGAAGAGAAAAAGAGTAAGTTAAGTAGAAAAATACCAAATGGTGGAAGTTGAGGAAGGAAGAATGTTATGAGGTCAGACAGGAGCTGGTGAAGGCTCTGAGGGGTAAGAAAGAGCTTCCAGATGACTGGGCTACTACAGCAACAGTAATTAGAGACAGGTAGGAAAGTACTTGGTGTGTCATCTGGACAGAGAAAAAAAAGTCAGTGAAACCTTTTTGTGGAATAGTTAATTGCAGGAATTTATCCAGAAGGGTTTAGACGAGAAGAAGTTGAACTATAAAAGAACTGAAGAAAATAGATAGAAATTTGAGGAGATGAAACGTAGGGTAAAGAGAGAGTGTTAGCAAAAGCAAAGTAGAAGGCTTTGGTCCTTCTTGTAACAAGAAGGAAGGAGAGAAGGACTTTTATCAACTTGTATCCCAAATGGCAAGACGAAGGGATCAGGCTGGAAAGGGTGTGTGGCAGGTTGTTATAGAAATAGTAATGTTTTAACAAGCGAGAAGAGTGTGATGGTACGATTGAAGAATAATTTTCAGGAGCTAAGGAATGAAAATAATAAAATGGAAAGAAGAGTATAGGTCATAGAAACTGTTGACCAGGAAAAGGGAAAGATAGTGAGAGTCAAGTTCGGAAGGCTTTGAGTGGGATGAAGAATGAGAAGGTAGTTGGACCCTGGGCCCATGAGCAAGGCCCTTAACCCCCACCATGTGCTCCGTAAAAAAAAAATAACAGGTCTCTCTTGAAAATGAGTTCTCCTGGCTCATTGAGACTAACCTGGATAAATAAAGGCTAAATGAAAAAAAAGTTGGATCTAATGGCGTACGAGTAGATGTATGAAAATGTCTTGAGAGAGATGCCAGTGAGATTTTTAACTCAATTATTCATTACCTGAGGAATGGTGAAATGGCTAAATGCCAGCTACCAGTCGACAAAATCATAGCTCCTGTTCTGCATAGGCCTGAATATCTTCAGCCAGATCATTACAAAGAGTAGCTATGGGTACCATTTCCAAAGTGGAACACTCATCAGTCACCTCCTCTACATGGAAAACATCAAGCTGTATGCCCAAAATGAGTGAGACATCAACTCACTGATCCACCTCAACAGGATATAGAGCAAGTACGTTGGAATGTCATTTGAATTGGATAAACACAATTAAATGGTATACAAGAGAGGCAAGGTGATCACAACTGAAGGGGATGAACTACCTGAAGGCAACACTGTAGATGCCCAGGACAGCTACAAATTTTGAAGAGGAAATATACAAACCTTAAAATCCCACAAGCAAATGGCAATCATGATGAGGCCGCAAGAAAGTCAGCCACAACCAAGTACCTACAGAGAGTAAAGCAGGTCCTGAAGAGCCGGCTGAATGGCAAGAACAAAGTCAGAGCCATCAACACATATGCAGTGCCAGTTATCAGATACTCATATGATATAATAGCCTGACCAAAGGAGGAGACATCAGTCATCAGAGCCACAGACATCAAGACTCAAAAGCTCCTCACAATGCATGGAGGGTTTCACCCCAAGTCCAGCACTCTGAGACTATACACTAGAGAAAGGAGGGAGTCAGAGGACTAGTGAGTGTCCAAGACCCTATACAGAATGAAACAACTAAGACCCTGGAGTACATCAGAATGAAAGCTCCCAATGACGAACCGATGAGTGAATGTTTCAGGCAGCAACAGCAGAAACCTAATGTGAAAGAAGTGAAAGAAGAGGAGCCATCATGGAAAGAAAGGCCCTTGCATGACATGTATCACCAGCAGATTGAGGAAGTGGCTGATATTGATAAATGCTGCCAGAAGAAAGGTCTGGACTGAAGTACAGCACAGAGGCACTAATCAGGGCAGCACAAGAACAGAACCTCAGAACAAGAGCAATAGAGACCAATGTCTATCATACCAGACAACACCCAAGATGCAGGCTGTGCAAAGATGCCCTTTAGACAATCCAACATATAACAGCAGGGTGTAAGATCCAGGCAGGGAAAACATACTTGGAACGCCATAACCAAGTGGCTGGAATAATATACAGAAACATCTGTGCCAAGTATGGACTGGAGGACCCACAGTCAAAATGGGAGACACCATCAAGAGTGGTGGAGAATGGAAAGGTTAAGATAATTTTGGCCTTCCAGATCCAGACGGACAAATATGTCACGCCTAACCAACCATTATGGTGGTTGACAAGCAAGAGAAAAAGTCAGTGGTGATAGACGTAGCAACCTTAAGTGACCACAACATTAGGAAAAAGGAGCATGAGAAGCTCAAGAAACACCAAGAGCTGAAAGAGGAAATACAGAAGTTATGGAGAGTCAGTCAGTAGTAGTATATACTGTATATCTTTCTGCTAGAAAGCTGAAGGTGAATAAAAATTTTATTACTGTGCATATACGCAGATCAGTAAAAGAATGACTTCACCAGAAGAAAATTTAAGTTTTGAAATGGCAAAACCAGAGTCCAGAATGAAATTTAGATGTGGACTTTTGATAGATTTCTTCCAAGAACTGACACCTGTAATTTAACCAGAAAGTGCTTCTGCAAAGTAGTAGTTTAACCAGCTTATTTCATTTTTATGTTTGTAAAAAATTTCTTTGTAACTGATTTTTTTTCAGTTGTGTCCCACAGGATATTTATTACAAGAAAGAAAGAAACAAGTTTCAAATGATTACTGGTGATGCTTTTTACATCACAGAAATTTGGCATGGCATGTATGTAGACATTTTTTATCTACTGCAGCTGGTCAGTGATGTAGCTTACTTATGGCCAGTACAGTAGTTGGCACTTCAACACATTCAGGAATACCATGTCCAAACTGCAGGGAATGCCACATGAGTAGACATTTGTCCTGGCAACAGTTTTCAGTCAATATCTAGCTGGGTTTCCTGCAGGAGCAGTCTCCTACCCAGTTCAAGTCAAACTAACATCTATGGTAAAAATTATTTATTTAAGGATTTATTCATTTATGGAGGTAGTGTGGACAGAGGATGCAGAGGACAGAGTGAGTTGGAGGAGGATGACTCGCTGTGGAGACCCCTGAAGAAGGAAAAGCCGAAAGAAGAAGAAGATCTATGGTAAAAGGAGGTAGATGTTGCTGTGATAAAAACATCTACTGTGGGTTAAATGCAGTCAGTTTTAACTCAAAATGAATCTATATAAATAGCTCAAATATATGTTCTCTTCTCCAAACCACACACAGGCACATGAAGCAGACACATCAGGGTCAGCAGTGGGGCTGTTGTCACTCCCATGAGGTCTTTTTTCTAAAGGTTAGTTCAAAACCTTTTTTTAGATAAACCTTTCAGTGAAACTGATAGTTAGAGGTGTTTATGTGAGCTTGTGGCATTTGATATGGTGAAAATTGAAAGTCTTAGATATATGAAATTAAAGGCTGACACAAGATTTATTGAGTGATATTTACGTTCTGACTGACAGTATTGTGGATTGTGTTGCCCAGTCTGTATCGACTATCCAGTTTTTTTCAAGGGCATGTTACAGAAATTCAGGAAAAAAAATCTCACATTTGTGGCAAAGAATTTAAAGTGTAAGATCTCTGAAGAACTGCCTGTTGGATAAAACTTGTAATCCTTAGGGTGTAGTTTTGTTGCCAGGAACTCTCAGCTGAATTCATATATGACTGTTCTGGAGTGGAACGGTGATTCGTTCAGGCCCCAGAGGATCTGCTTGGTTTCTACCCCTCATAAAAACAGTGGACAGAATTCAGCTTGTTTTGACAGCGACACAAACAAAAGAACATATGATGAAGGTTTTAAGTTCAGTCTAGCTTCAGTTTAGCAAAGACTAATTAAAGTTTTAGATTGTCAGCTATTCATAAACCTGTTTCCCACTTTGACTGAAATCTATTTCAGTCTCTGTAATTTAAAATCAAGGTTAAAGTACATTAGTAAGGTCATCAAGGTTTGATTTATTCTCTAAACTAAACATCTGTGATCAGAACAGCCCCCTTCATGCAGCTGTTGCTCTGACGTCTTTTGAAATAAATACCCTGATAAGATGCTTGTAAAAATGATGCCCATTCACAAGTACTAACAGAAATGGTCAAAGTAAATTTGTCTAAACAGTCGAGTACAAGTTTCTTCTTTCAGAGCATATTCAGTATGTTCAAATCATTTACTTGATTTCACCCATGTAACTGAAGAAGTCAAAAAAGGTGTTAATAAGCCTAAAAGGGATTGACTCAAGAACAGAGTACCCACCACTCTAGACCAGCACGGTTGATGTCGTCCCACCAGCAGTCACTGGGCGACCCCAGTCCCTCAGGTGTGGGCTGGCACTCAAAGGACCACAGGCGGTCTGAGCCATCCGTCTCACTGAAGTAGCTCCTGATAGCAACAAGAACCTCACCGTGGGGACACTGGAAGTTGAAGCCCTGGCGGTAGCCGTTCACCCAGCCCATGTCATAGTGCTCGTACGGCTGAGCTGCTGCGGAGGCAAGCAAAGACAAGACCAGCACCACTAGAGCAGGATTCATGTTGAAGAGATCCATCCGTCTGCTGCACTCCCTCACAGCTGCCTCTGTTTAAACTCCTCCGAGCCTTTGGTTGTCCAGATGTTTGGAGGGATGTGTAATTTTCTGGTTGCAAGACAAATCCAAAAGTGGCCCTCAGCTGAGACTTTTTAAGGTCGACTCTGACACACGGCATTCACAAAGTCTTTGTGGAGATGAGGGATCTCCTTAAAAGACAATACTTCAGAGTTAATGTTATTCAGATATTTATGTGATGCTTTGTCTGACTGGAAAATGCACTGGTGTTAACCGTCTGAATGCTCGTGTAGCTCTCATTGTTAATGGGACACTTTAACAACATTCTTACTCATTTTTTCACATTTGATCAGAGATTTAATCTGACAGATCTTCAGCCACTAAATAATGGACATTTTCACTTAAAAATGAAGTGTTAAACCCCTCTAAAATAAATTATGTCCATATAATATTTTTTTTAAAACAGGTTCAGTGTAATTAAGTACAGTGCTCCTAACGGGATTTTTGAGAGAAAAAAATTAGCTTCTCATGCACATGAGAAACTCTGATGCTGGTACATGTAATAATACAGTCTGCCTTTTCTTAATGTTCTTAGGCCAGCAGGAATGGATTACAGGAGCGGCCATGTTGTATTTTTGGAACCAGAGTCTGTGCACTTGTGATGTAGGGCTTTAAGTCCCGCCTCCTCTCCTCTACACAATCATTGTGTCACCCACACCTACTTCAGCTTCTCATATGATGCCTAGTATTTGCTTATATGTTGATGGTGTGCACAAGAAACTATTATTATTGTTTTCTCCAAAGCCCCTATTTGGGCTTTGTACATGAGATATTTCTAACTTTGACTAGGGAGCTCAGTCCTCAACTCCTTCTACAGGTGTGCAGTGGAGAGCATCCTGTGCTCCAGCATCAACGTGTGGCATGGAGGCTGCACAGCTGCAGAAAGAAAAGCTTTCCAGAGAGTGGTGAAGGCTGCACAGAAGATATTGGAGTCAGTCTCCCCACCATCACAGACTTCTACACCTCTAGATGCAGGAAGAGGGCCACCTGCATCATGAAGGACCTCACTCACCCAGCACACAAACGTTTTTCCCCGCTCCCCTCAGGAAGGAGGTTGAGGAGCATTAAGTGCAGAACTACTAGACTGAGAAACAGCTTCTACCCTGAGGTTGTTAGACTCATGAATCTCTAACCAGAACAATCACTGTGAAAACACTTTAATTGGACATTTAACACCTTATCTGTGCTGCTGATTATCCACTGATACTGATTTCTTACCAATAAGCTGCTATAATCATACCCATCTGCTCACAACAGACTCATGTTCCGTCTGCTGTTTAATACACCTCATTTATATTATATAATTATTGTACATCTTAGGTCTTTGTATACTGTTTTTTTATATTTTGTATTTTTGCTATTTTTGGATGTAACTGGGATCTTGAGTACACAGTTTCATTCCACCTCATGTACCACATGTGATGTGAATGACAATGGTCTCCTTGAACCATGAACTTTGAATTTATTGTTTTATTAGTGTCTAAAAATAATTTAATATGTAATTTTAGAAATGTGTTGATCTTCTTGGTCTTGAGGGCTGGTTACATGAGCTGTGGGTTGAGTTGCTGTAAGAAGGGGGACAAACAGAAAATGTTAAATGGACTGTCAACTTTATATCGGGCCTTTCTTTCCAACCAGGATACTCTGAGCACTTTACAATACAATCTGTGCCCTCGTAGAACAGGTCATTCTAGTAGTGATTAAAGTTTTTACATTGTTGCATTAGGACTTGAACTTAACAATGTGCAGAGAACAGAAATCCATTGGATCACTGTGTGCCTCTGAATCTGAGCTCATGAGCGGGCTCATCCTCAAAGCATCTAAAAATAAACAGGAGCACATGTTAAAGAATGGTGTCTGTGAGTCAAAGCAAGACGAGTTATGCAAATGTCAAAACGGAGCAGATATGGCATGTATTTTTAAATGCTAGGGTCTATTTAAAAATCTCTATTTACAGCAGTTGTGTTGGTGCTTTGAGAATGGAGGTCTTTGTTTAGGATACTTTGATCTGACTGTGACTTCTCGACCTCACTGTACAGTTGATCACACGGCAGAAGCGCGTTGCCTGGAACAAAAAGCTAAGTGTCAGAGTCTTGATCAACCAGTCGAGCACTGAACCGTCTGGGACTCATCTGGAGACAGATGTGGTGGATCTGGGAAATAAAACATTAGCTGACAAAGGTCTTTATTTAATCCTCCACATAAAGAAGTGTGCAGTTTAAAAGAGTGCAGCAGTGCATTGACGTTCAGTGAATGAAAATAAGACAACAGGACCTTTGTGTGCACAAACCAATACCAGTCTTCTCTGGGATAAATATTTGGAAGCTGCACTTTACATCTGCTTTCCATCATATCCAGCCCCAGCGTTCATACACTGACAGCTCCATGCTAACAGTTAACACTGCATCCCTTTGGAAACTTACAGTGTGTAGTGAACTCGGCCTCCAACCAAAACCTGCCTCTGAGGACCTTCATGGGACAGGAACTGTTATTTCATTGATTTGAATCCAGAAATACAGATTAGCTCATCCAGAGACTGTCTAATTGTATCCTGAAGTAATCAATTGAAAGAACACTCTTCTTTTTATATTATCGTTACTATTTTACAATATCTTGATAAATCAAAAGTGTGTTTAGTTCATATCATTTCTAAATGTTGAACCACTCATTTTAAATCAACTGTGAAACTGTATTAATGATAATTTTTTTTAATCCTCATTTAAATTAGAAATCAAGTTAAATGTCTATTTACAAAGTAATTATGCATTTTGATCTTCTGTCTGAAATGAGAAGTAGTGATGTCGGTCGAAAGTCAGAGACAGTCAGAAAGAAGTTTTTAGAACAGGCTGTATTGTTTTTAAACCTAGCAGATAGTAAATAAGAAGCAACTGGCACCTGCTTGCTCTCACTTCTTCAAAACATTTCCCCTGGCTGTACTAAAAGTTCCTAAAACATTCCTGCTGTTTTCTTGACTTGTAATGACCCTCTGACATCACTAGAACTACCTCCTGTTGGTTGTTTCAACCAATCAGGAATTCCTGAAGTGACCGGAAGTGAGAACTCTTTAAAAGTCCACACTTCCTGGAGTCTTCAGTTTTTCAAGTGGGTCTCTGATGAAGTCTGATCTTCAAGTCTCTGGTGAAGTCTTCAGGTCTTCTCAAGTCTTCTCGAGAGTTCTCAGTCTCCTGAGTCTCCGGAGTCTTTGATGGATTCTCCCACATCTGAGTGGAAACTCTGCCGGACGAACAGCTTGCTGTGTATCCACCCGGGAGATGAGCGTGTTTGTTGAACGGAGTAAGTGGCACTACTCCTGACGATGGCCAGCCTCTTACCGGAGACGCTGGAAGGTAGCGTTGAAATGCACCCGACACCGGAGCTGATTAAGTTCTGCAAAGGTAACGAGTCTTAACGCACCAAGTGTACCGGAGGTTTTGAGCTGGTGTTGAAGGGAGCGTGCCATTCTGCTGTCCGAACAGACACGCCCCTTTTTACCCATCTTTTCTCTCCATTTAAACTCCTTCAATCCTTCCTTTAAAACTCTTCTATTTTGCCAGTAGTCTAGATGCCTTGAGAAATGTCCTGTTGTCTTATTAAGTAAAACGTGCCAAGTTTTATTAATCAGAACCAGATCATCTAATCAAGTGTACAATGTTTTGATGTTAAATTTTGATTCTGTTAAATAAATGACCACATTTATTCTGATGGGTCAAAGGAAATTAACGTCTCATGTCAATGATTTAAACAGTCATCACAGTTGTCTCGTCACATGGCAGTAATTTAACTCGAAAAAGAGAGAACCCGTTATATTTAAATAATTAGTAGTGGAGGGTGAAGCTAACCTGGCCCCTGACACCACTACATAATTACAAAAACGTTGCAAATACTTTCATTTGTCTGTTGCCTCTAAATAAAAACACGTTCCTTGAAGGAGTGCACATCGGCCCTCTTGCGTGCAAAGTTTTAAGTGCCATATTTAAAGCTCCCAGCTAACACCACACTAAATTTTAGTTAGGTTTTTTTTCGTAAAATTGACTGAGTTATAGATAAGTTTGTGTTTGCTAAGGTCGTTTATCTGTGGCAGTCATTTTAAATCAGGTTGACTGCAAATGTTAATCAGTCGTACATAAACTTCCAGTTATTATTTTATGAGCTTTAGTCAAATCAGTCTAGTATTTCATGAGAATTTTTGCTAAAACACACACTCACACATGAATACAAGTTTTACATGATCACCCTTCTTTAGTAGTGGCAGGAGATAAAAAGCAACAAATTTTGACGTCCGAAGCTGGAATTCCAAATTTTGATGGTTGATTTTATAATTTGCAATAAAAGTTTTGACTTCTGAGTACAGGTTGAGCACAAGAAGAGCCTTTTTTTTTTTTTTTTTTTGTCTTTTGGTGTTTTTTTTGTCAGAGCAGTTAGGTAGAGGTGGTATTTCTGGAAAAACATCTTCCAAGGAGAAGTGTTATTTAGAAAACTGAAAGACCGATGTGTTTAATGAAGAAAACTATTGATTTTTATGCATGCATTGCTATGAAGTTGTAGTAAGTCCAAAGATGTTCATTGTTTTAAGAACTTGATTACCGTACATCTCGGCAAACACTAGTCATTCTTAAAATCCTCGTCTTCTTCTTCTCCTTACACATGAACACCCTGACAGTTCTGGCTAACAGTACCTACTACTGATCAACACTTAAACTTAGATTACCACATCCTGCCCCTCTAAGCAGAAATTTTTTTTTTTCAACAAATCAAATCTTAAGCAGGATCTGACATAAATTGTTGTTTTAAAAACACATGAACAATGACATCAACATGAGTCCCTTAATATTTCAGTAGAAATTATTTAAGGTAATTTGGTAATGTAATGGCAGCATGGTGGCGCAACTGGTAGAGCTGCTGCCTCTCAGCGAGCAGGTCCTTGGTTC